GCTGGCGCCCCTGTTCTCTGGCTGGCTGCCAGAGAGCCCCATGCAGCTGCGGCGGCTCCGGGCTGCGCGAGCCGCCGCTGATGGGCGTGTTTTCCACCACCACCACCACCATGAGTTGGAGGGGGGAGGAGGAGGAGGACGAGGAAAAGGAGGACGAAGAAGAGGAAGAGGAGGACCCCCTCCCCCTCCAACTCATGGTGGTGGTGGCGGAAAACAGGCCAATCAGCCGCTGTTCTCTGGCTCCGGCTGCTCGCGGCTCGGGCTGCGAGAGCCGCCGCTGTTCTCTGCGTGGCCGACGGCATGTGCATTCACGCAGGCGCTCTGGGCACCCTCCTCGGAGGTGGGCCGCGCGCGGAGCGCGCGACCAGCTCGGGTGTCCTGTGCCGGGCATTTTTGCGGGAGGGGCAACAAAACACGCAGACACGACCAATCGTCGATCCCCCCGGAGGCTATGGGAAAACATGGGACGTGGGGGGGGGAAGACCAAAGCCCTGAAAGTTTGGAGGAATATGGGGGATCTTGGGATTTGTGTGTATTTCTTAGTGTGTGTGTGTCCCTGGGCCCCTTCAGTTTCGTCCGACGCGCCGCCGACTGCCGCAGACTGGCGCGGCCAGCGGACTTCACCGTAGATGTCAGCGAGAGCACGCCGGCCGCTCGGGGCTGCCCTCGTCGCGGGCATGTGCCGCCCGAGCTGGGCCGACGCGAACCGCTCGCCTCGTCTCGTCTCGTCGGGCATGTCCTTCTGCAGGAGAGAAATTCAAAAACAGTCAAACAAATGTGTGGGGACGATTTTGCGAGTGCTGTTTGACTAAGACTATGTTTCAGCATGTTTTGACTACGTTTCGAACTCTCGCCTAAAATCCGCCTGTAGGAGGACATGACCGACCTAAGCTTGGTCGCCGTCGTGATCCAGAGGAGCAAGAGGTACAGTCGGACCGAGGTATAGTTAGGCCTCCTAGATGGGGTCCGAGTAGATGGGGTCGGAGGATCACCCCGCACCGCCGATGCATCGGCGATGCGGCTCGATGTGGGGCCCGTGTTTCTCCACGCCGACGTCGCCGATGCATCGCCAACGTCGACCATGCATCGCTGGTGCATCGCCGATGCATCGCCGCCATCTCCGATGTATCGGCGATGCGGCGCGATCCTCCGACCCCCATCTACTCGGCCCCCATCTAGGAGGCCTCTAAGATCGAGGTCGGTTCGCGGAGGGTACCCTCCTGTTCTTCGTGTGTGTTGGATGTTTTTGTGCATCCTGGGGAGGGTACCTTAGGACGTTCTTTGTTTGTTTGGCCTGCGGAGGGTCGCATGTTCTTGAGGGATGTTCTTCTGGCCAAGGGCCGACTGTACAGTAGGGGCACGCATCAAGAAACCATATGCTTTTCGTCAGGGTACCTTTGGTTTATTCGCCCCTCGGGCTGACTTCCCGCGGCCGTTGTAGAAGTTGCTGCTTTCAGGGTGCTTTGGCACCTCTCGCGCGGGTCTTCGGGGCTGGGTTTCTTGCGAGGGTTTATTGTGGCCGCGACCGCACTGTACCGCTACCCTTCCTTTATTTTTCCCCCTCGTGGGCCTTGCAGGCCCTCGTCGCCACTGCTGGATTCGCCCCCACAACTCTGTCAGAACGCACCCTGGGCGAGGTCTGGGGAGTAGCAGTATCGGTGGTTCCTGCGCATATTTGAACGAATCCTTGAGATTGCTAGCAGACCGACTTTCGTCAGGCACCCTACCGAAACACGCTTGAAAACGGGGCTCAGCCAGTGCGGCAGATCTTGAAGGATCCTGCAGGGCCAGGGGTGGCCTGACCCGGGCTTGCGCGCAGGATCCTGCAGGACCTTGCAAAGCCCGACCGACCCAGGTTTGCATCGACTTGGGTCAGTAGAAGCCCGACGTCTCGTCTCGTCGGTTTGGTCGCCGTCGCCGTGGTCTGCGTCGCGGTTGGCGCCGTCGGCGTCGTCGTGGCCATCGGTTTGGTCGTCGTGGTCGCTGTGGTCGTGGGCTGGCTTCCTCGTCGTGGCCATGAACGTGTGCCTCGCCGTCGTCGTGGGTTGAGATTCGAGGGTCAATTCGAGGATCTGGTCTACGCGTGTGGCGCCAATGCATTTCCGTGGAAGCAGGATGGGCAGCATCTGTTTTGTTCTCAGAAGCCGGGCGACGGCTGGCAAACCCGTGGCTGCTAAAACGGAGCTCCAGGAAATTGTTTTGTTTCCATGAAGCAGCCGTTTATTATTCAGTGCGATGAGCATGATTCATGGAGTTAGTGTTTTCCTTCCGGGAAGTCTGTTTTAGCAGCCACGGACTTGCCAGCCCTCGCCCACCTTCCAATCTTCATCAGAGACAAAGGTAACACTATAACCAGCTCGGGGGGTGGATGTCCCACCCTCTCGCGCTGGCGGCACCTCGTTCTGGGCATGCCTCCAGAGAGTTCCGGATCGAGGGGAGGGAGCGGCCACCCCCCTAGCTGTTGGCAGTGGCACGTTTATCTTTCCACACTTTTTAGGACTTCAGCCAGACTCCAATCGTTTTCGAAATCATGTGCAACAGTCCGGAGCGTATTGGGCAGACCGAACTGCACTAAACCTAAGTAGACATTCAGTCACACAGTCACATACTCATATTTTCCTTCGACGTTTCACACCTGCTGGGCAACCTGGCTTTCCCAGAGGCCAGCGCGTTTGGCGCGCCTGCCGCCGTCGTAGGGTCGCCAGACGATCCCGGTGACGGCAGCTTCGTTCGATCGTTCGTTCGTTTTGCGCCCCTCCTCGGACAACGCGGGCGCTGCACTGGTCTTCCTGATACGACCCAACGCGCGACTAGGTCTGCCTGGTCTTACTTCGGCATGTAAGGCCAAGTACGGCCAACGCCTTTAAGATTCCCTTCCCCTGCTCCCTTCTGAACACCGCCAATGGCTGATACGAGCACGAGCGATCGCGCGACCAGCGTGGGAATGCCGGCGGTCGGAGGAGTGGTAATGGGCGATCCCTTTTTTGGCGAGGGGCCCGGGGGCCTCCGAAGAGCTCTGAGACCAAAGCGCTGTCCACGTGGTGCTCGGCGTTCGGCCTGCCCGACGTTGGGGCGTCCTGGGTCGTGGCGCGTCAATTCTGTTTACGGTATGGCGAGGTTCTCCAGATTGGATCGGTGACAGCGCCAGTCTGCCTCGCCGCGGCGGCTGGTACGCGCAAGGAGGTGTCCATCACTTTCACCAACAGGAAATGCTACACCGAGCCCGTGGACGTGGTTCGGAGGTGTATATGCGCCCTCCAGGGTAAAGCGCTTTGTGGAGTATGTGTGCTTGTTGCTCGCCACAGCTGTCATTCCGGAGCGCTGTTTCCTGGCCTGACATATTCGGAAAGCCTTGCCACGCTGAAGGTGGCGGCTCAGGCGTGCGGCGTAGAAAACGCCATGTTCTGGGGAACGCATGCTTTTCGCCGAGGTTGGGCGACGGATTGTTTGCAGGCGAACGGCCCCACTGCTTTATTTTATTCTGGTGGGTGGCGCGGGCTCACCGCGTTCGCGTACGCCTCAGCCAGGGCGCGGGGGAACGTGGCGGCAGCAGAGTTCTTAGTTGAACACTCAGATTCGTCGGACGCTGCTGAGTAAAAATGCTCCTGCTTGCATGGGGGGGCACAGGCACCAGTAGCAAACCGCTTCGCGCAGCTGTCCGGACCCACCTGGGTGCAGTGGGTGCCCTGGAGGCTTCCCAGGGCGGCCCCAGCCAGCTGCACGTATGTGTGTTGCCCATTGCACGTGTGGGAACGCGTGAATGTACATGCGAGGAATAATTTTAGTCGCCCCTAAATCACGAGGCGCGAGTGGTTTGGGGGGCATTGAAATTTGAGGAGTAGGATTCTTGTCCACTCTTAGCCTTTTGGCCTCCTGGCCTCCTTGCTTCGTGCGTCTGGTTCATGGCCGGTAGCTTCCTACGGAGGCTGCGGAGTTGGAGGGGAAGTTCTTGCTCACGCCTGGCCCGTTCAGGGTGCGGTTTCCCTCTCTCCCCGTCTGTCCGTGTCCGTCTGTCCGTGTCCGTCCGTCCGTGTCCGTCTGTCGTTGGTCGTCGCGCGCACCAGGGGCCTTGTGGACCCTGCGTCAGCACGCGGACGCAGCAGGGCCTGCGGGGTCAGGGGGTGCGCGTGCGCATCGCTTCTCGTGGGGCTGCCGCTGCCGCGGTGCAGGCTGCTCTCGGGTTGGGTTGCTTTCCCCGCCCACCCGCTCCCTCGCGTTCCGCTGGTTGGGTGCCCTGGAGGCTTCCCAGGGCGGCCCCAGCCAGCTGCACGTATGTGTGTTGCCCATTGCACGTGTGGGAACGCGTGAATGTACGTGCGAAGAATAATTTTAGGGGACGCCAGGGGCGGCCGTCGACGTCGTCAACGTCGTCGTCGTGCCGTGGTCGGCGTCGTTCGCAGCGCCGCCGTCGTCTCCGCCGCCGTGTTCGTACGACCAGGGTCGAGCGTCAAGAAAGGAGGAGCCGTTTGCTTGCTTGTGCCCTTGGTGTTTGTTTTCGGAGGTGGGGAGGGGAGGAGGGGAGTATAGGGAGAGGGGGTAGGGCTTTTTAGGAGCACCCTCTCTCCTCAGAAGGCGCGGGCCCTGTCTGTAGCTGCAAGGCCAGCGCCTCCCAAGACTCCCATTACCCTATTTGCGCGCTTGTGCCCCTCGTTCTGGCTCGGGGGTGGGGAGCGGCCCGGGGACCTCCGGGGACTTTCGGGCACCTCCTTCCAGAGCCGCCGGCGGCGCACCCGTCGTCGTCGTCGTCGCCGGCGTCGGGGTCTTCGCCCCTCCGCCCCGCTCCTTCGTCTCCACATTGCCTTCTCTCCCTCTTCCGACTCGGTCCCCCCCCCCCGGTCCTCGTTTCATCTTTCTCTCCCCATTCTTATGCCCTCCCCCTCCTCGTCCTTCGCCTCCTCCTCGTCCAGATCCCTGTCATCATCACTCGCTTTCCTCCCCACCCCCTCGCCCCACCCTCCTCCGCCCCGTCCCCCCCTCGCCGCCCCGCGGCGACCGCCGAGGGCCATCCTCTCGCAGGCGTGCTCGTGCTTCCTGGCGCCCTGGGAGGGAGCGCCGCGCTGACGCCGCCACGGCCGTCGGCGCGGGCGTCGGCGCGGTCCTCGTCGTGGTCGCGGTCGTCGCTGCAGCCGTGGCGTCGTGGTCGCTTTTCAGCTCAGACGTGAATGGCGTGGTCGTCGTGGGTGTCGGGTATGCGCTCACGGGCGAAAGGAACCCATATAAAAACACAGTGTGTTGGCTCAGTGGCGGGCAAATCCACATGTGGAAACACGTGCAAAAGGGACCCCATGTAAAACCATGCGGTGTTCGCTGAAGAGCGAAAGGAACCCATGTAAGAATCCATGTTTTGCTCTCATGAACGAAAGGAACCCACGTGAAAACACATGGGGTTTGGCCTACGGGCGAACAGAACCCATGAACATAAACCCATGGTTCGGGTCCATGGTCGAAAACAACGAAAGTAAACACAGAGGGTTTTGATTCACGTGCGAACAGAACCTTTGCGCAAAGACACGATTTTCTGACGAGAGAAAAAAATCAATGTGAAACAAAACACACGGTTTAGGATCTTGAGAATCATTGGGGTTTCTTTGGGCAGCTTGGCGCCTTGTGGAGCCTCTTGGAGCCTCTTCAGGCTTCCTGGGACGTCCTGGGAGTTAGGTTTGCGGGCGAAAGGAACCCATGTAAAAACATAGGATGTGGGGTCACAGGCGAATGGAACCCATGTAACAAAACACATGGTTTGGGTTCACGGACTAGGGGAACGCATGCAAATACAGAAGGTTTGCATTCACGGGCGAAAGGACATCTGTACAAAGGCACGGTTTGGGTCGGCAGGCGAAAAGGGTTCATGCACATACAAAGTTGTTGGTTTCATGGGCGAAAAGAAACAATGAAAACAACACATTGTTTGAATCCACAGAGGAACAGAGGCGGCTTGCGGCGCGTCTTCAAGACAGGCGTTTCGCTCGAGAAATCCTCGAACTTTCTGCGCGCAGGATGCACCATCCTCGTGCGGGCACGCGCAACAACAAATTTTGGTTTGACGCATTTCGCGCAACTTCCAACGCACCCCTCACAAGGATTTTGCGCAACACGCTCCGCATTTTTTCACGAAGCAAGCGAGGGCCTGCGGAGCTGATGTTCATCGAGGGTGTGCTTTCTCGGACCGGGCACGCACGAAACGCAGTTGTTCCACTGGAAATGTGATTTCGCCTTTTTTTGATCGAGTGGAAGCTCGCCGGCCCTATGTAAGTCGAGGGCTGGGGACGAAAACCCTGGGCCGGAGCCCGTTCCGGGAACAACCTTGAGGACGAAGGATTGGTCTTAGGGAAAGGGCCCAGGGACAGTTTCTCCAGGGACCCTCTTCATTCGTGCCAAAAAGTTGGACTGGCGAGAGCCACGTTGGACCAGTCGCTCGCATCCTGCGAACTGTTGGTTTAGGCCAGGGCTCCGAGTGATGAGGACAGGGGGTGGTCAGGGATAATTCCTGACTCGGGCCTCCCGTTTCTGCGCCAGAGTTTCCCTTGGACTGCACACCCCAGCCAGGGCCTTACCCATAGTTTGCAGGTCTATACCAGAAAATTCGGGTGCCCCATTCGATGTTTTGCTAGGACTGCCAGGGTAGTTCGGAGGAGGATGAGGAGGGTGGATTGGAACTGCTTCATGCCTTCTGTATGCGTGCCTGTCCCGTCTCTGCGCGGCGGCCGCATCTCCTTGTCAGAGTTCGCCCAGAATTTGGTACAACGGTCGCCTGACTGTGCAGCGAGGTCTTCTTATGGTCACTTACAGTTGTGATCGCTCTATCCTCATTGTGTACTCCAGCTTCTGCCATGTGTGCGATCGCTCTCTCCTCGAGATGCCTGGCAGGTTACTGGCGCCGTTTCACAGTCCGCGCACCGTAACCGCGTTCAGAAATCTGTTCGGCTTAATACATCACGTCATCCATCTTGCGGTCGATGCCCAGGCAGGATTATGATGCCACGTCGTTGCATGTTTCAATCGTAACGTGTATACCCCTCCTTACCCTTCTTGTCGTGCGTCTGCTCTGCACATGGGATTAAAGGCTGAGGAGCTGGCACTGCTCTTCAGCGCTAAAAGACGTATCTAGCGAGGTCGCGTGGGCCACAGGCATAGAATCGATTGCCATTCGCCATCTCGCCCTCGGCACCTGTTTCCTCGCTGAACAACCACCGCCGCCTCGTACACGCGTTCCGTATCGCAATGTCGCGCTGTGTGGTTGCAGAGACATGTTGGCTCACGCATGCTGGAGAGCAGGTTTCTGCCGCGTCTTGTTGCAGCTATTTCGTGGCATCTCGCCTCGGACACCGCGAGCATCCGCGGCATGCTCGCGCAGAAGAGGAGAGGCGGGGGGTCCCTGGAGGCCTTCACGGAGGCTGCTGGGGGCCTCCAGAGACCTCTGGAGGCCCGGAGGAGCGCCCCGCCCTTGGGGGCCGGCCGCACGGTGGCCAGGTGGGGGTGACCGGGTGGCGGCGGGCCGGCTGGGCAGAGCCAGCGCCAAGAGCAGTCGCAGCCTCGGTCGTCCAGTGTTTACCAGCCTGGAACATGTCCCTATCCATATGCTGGGCATCTCCTCATCACGATGCCAATCTCAGGGATTCCCTCATTTTTTGAGGGCGGATCCCTAAGACTGTCATCGCCTTTTGGCGTGTCAATCGTAGGGATAGGGATACGGTCGAGGCTGGTAAAATGTGACATCCTGCGCCTACGAGTGGCCGGACTCCTTGATGCTCTGCCACGGGGCAGGGGGCAGAGCTGGCGGACGAAGCACGAGGGGTGGCGAACAGGTGCTCATGATCATCACGTCCATCGTGGTGTGGATGGTGAGCCCCGCTCCTTGGGATGTGTCTCTTTGCAAAGGACAGACGCAGACACAGAGAGAGAGAGAGAGAGGAGTGAGGTGCGATCGGTGCGACTGCACTCTTTCCCGAATGCCCTCCATGCCGCATGCGGACTTGCAGAGCTGGACGTGGGAACAGGAGGAGCATCTGAAGCGGGAGCCGAAGTAAGACGGGGGCGCCTGGTTTCGCCGATGGCTGGTTCCGCCTGGCTGGTTTCCGCAGACCTGCCGATTGGGATCCTGCCCGCCACGGCGGAAACAGCCGCCAGCGAAACCAGCCCCGCCGAAACCAGGCGCTGGCGAATCCAGTCACGGCGAAACTAGCGGCCGGCAGAACTGATGGGAGAAACCAGCGTCAAGAGGACGAGGGGAGTGAGAAGGAGCAGGAGGCTCAGGCATGGAGACAAGTCGACTGAGGAAGCCTGCATGGGTTTTCTCGACCTTGGCATGCGACCGTACCGGTTCCGACCCCCGTCGGTTTCGCGAGTCGGCGCGTGCGGTTCGCAAGATACATTCGGTTGTTTTTGGACGTCGACTAGTTTCCCCGCTGGGATCCACTCGGAATGCGGCGCCGTGCGCGCGTGGAGTACCCGTGGCAGCTTTCTTCAGAGGGCTTTCTGCTACAGGGTGTTCTGTCAATGTTCGAGAGGTGCAGTGCCGGTGTCCTCCTGCTCCGACGCTCGGCGGTGACGGGCGGCAGGACGTGTCAGCCCCCCCACCCTTTCGGCAGGGGTCTCCCGAGAGATCTCCAGTGGTTTCCGGAGGCCCAGAGCCGATCTGGCACGGCCTCAAGGAGGCGCGCAGGCGGCCGGCCCCCCAGGTGGTCCTGGCTGGCCTCGACAGGCCCCCCGAGTGATTGGTCGGTCCCAGCTGGCAGTCCCGTGCGGTCTCGGCATCCTGGCGCGGCCTCTGGCGGTGCCCCTGGGGCGCCCCGCGCCCCGGAGCTGAGGTGTTGAGGCCGCCCCGGACTAATTATTGCGGGGCCTGCTGAGGCCAGCTGGCATCAAACGGGGGGCCCGCTGAGTGCAGCCGGGGCTACCTGCGGTAGGGGGGGGCTGTCTGGACTTCGACGTCAAGGCTCCGAAGGGCAGCGTCGTCGCGTAAGCACATCTGTTTTTGGTCGGAGGTCCGCGTGGGTCTGTTGGAGCGGCACTGGAGCTACCCTGGCAGCGCCTCCGGCGCCGCCCACGGCGAGGCCCGCGCGCCCGGGAGGATGGTCCAGCACAGATCCACAGGAATCTGGCGCGGGCCCTGGAAAGTTGAGTGATAGGGTGTAGGGTGTAGGGTGTAGGGTTTAGGGCTTCCTGTCTGCAGCGGCGAAGAGTCCAGCAGTGGCGAAGAGTCCGGGCTTGCCTGCAGGTCCACCAGAGGATGTGCTGATGAGTTATTTTGTGCTTGGTGCGAGGTGTTCTTAGAGCCTTCCTCGCTGAGGCCGTTCCGTATTCACCCATCGGCAGGCTGTTCTGAGAAATGATTGTCCATGGGGGCCCTTAAAGGGCGATCCTTCGCCGGAGTGATCTTCTGTCACGGCGCCAACATTGCAGAGCGGATGCGGATCGGAACACGACAGGATGGGCCTGGGCCGTCCTGGAGACTTTCGCCCCGATGTCGGAGTGAATGTCGTGCGGATTCTCTGGTGGCCTAGCATGAAGAGGAATGAAGACTAAAAGACATCCATCCGAAATTCACGTCGTTTTTCGCTCGCCGTCTCGGGGTTTTGCATTGACAGGAATCCACGCAGAAATCCGCTCCTGCACGTCTGCAATGTCGGCGCAGCGACTTCTGGTGCGGGAGCCCTGGGGCCTCCCGATTGCCGCACGGGGCGCGGCAGCAGCGGCTTCCGCCCTCGGGCCTGCCCCCGCCCCCCGACGGCCCCCGAGCCCCCCTGAAACCGCGCACCACGGGTCACCCTCGCCTGTATCGAGCAGGGATCGACCACAACATTGAGTTGTCCAAGAACGCATCTGCTCGTCGAATCCATGGGCAATGCGTGGAATGCCCGTTGGCCTACGAGCACTCTGCGTCCGGTTCGACGAGGAAAACAATCTGGGGGCAAATCAATTCTGCAGTCAATCCCCGACTCGACTATAGGCTCCTACATGGTATGTAACCCTTGCGGCGTGTAGCCGACAGAAATGCCGAACACATACAGCGGAACTTGTCCTCGGTCCGCTCCTGCTTCTATCCCTCCGCTGTCGTGCACGGCGGCACCAGGACCCGGGAATCCCGAACACGTATTTCAAGCACGTGGACTTGCGACGGGTCCCGTTTCCACGCGACATCGACGCGCTCCGACGCCTTTCGGGCGATGCTCGCCTCATGGTTCGGGTGGCACCGCCCCCGACCCATGGACCTGGCGTCCGCGCGCCAAATCCACGAATCGGCAATCCGTGTCAGCGCTCGCCCGACAGTGGTGATTGTTGCTGCACTCGCCGCCCACCAAACCACCCCAACCCAGCCCGAAGGCCCCGATTTGCCTTCCATTTCCAGCGGGGGGGGTCGGAGAACATTGACTTGACACACATGAAGCCCGTATCCTCCCAAACCCGAAATTCGGGTCTTCTGGTTGGGTTGGGGTGGTTTGGTAGGCAGTCATGCACCGCCTCACCCGTGTCCCACCGAACACAAAAACGTGTGCCCGTGCGCATATAGATAAGTGTGGGGGCCCTCTGGGGGCGTCGTGGGTGCCAGTTTTGTGCGTCCCACGCAAGGACATATTGTCGGTTCGTTTCAAATGTTCGCTCTCTCCCATGGCAATTTTGCCCGATTCGGTCGTTCCCACGAATTTTCAATTTCGTTTCAATATTGCCCGATTTGCTTCCAGGGCAAACCCAAATCGAGCGGGGACGAAAAGGATGCATTGGGGGAAGTGTCGAGAAATCGGGGGCCCGCGTCACACAAAAGTCGCTATGTAAAATGTCTGGGCCCGCAGGCCATTTCGGACCTGTCCTCGGGAGCCTCGGAGCCATCTGCGGGGCTTTGGGGCCAGGACTTGGGGAGTCCTTGGGCCCTCTCGGGGCGGTCCTACGTTAGTCCTGAGGACGAGGAACACGGACCATGACGACGCTGGCGCCGACGACGACGACGACCATGACGACGACGACGACGGCGACGACGACGACGACGACGACGACGACGAGGTCGACGGCGACGACGCCGCCGCTGCCGTCGACGACGACGACGCCGGCACCGACGCCGACGCCGACGCCGGCGCCCCGCCGACGACGAAGATGACGACGACGACGACGGCGGCGACGACGACCACTAGGACGACACCGCCGCCGCTGCCGACGACGACGACGACAGCGCCGACGGCGACGGCGGCGGCGACGACGATAACGACGACTACGACGACGACGACGACGACGACGACGACGACGACGACGAAAACGACGACTACGACGACGATGACGACGACGACCACGACGACGACGACGACGATGACGACGACGACGACCGCAACGACAGCTGGAGACTCCCCGGACGCGCGGACCGCGAGGTGTCGACGCTGCCCTCCGCGCAGGAGGTGCCCGCAGGACTCGCCCGCCACCCACCGCGGCTCTCCCCGGCTACTGGGCACCGCGATGCTCGAAGAACAAACCGAGGCATTACAGTGGAGACCCATGCCAAGAAACACCCTGCTTGCCTCCAGGGTGTCCTGGGATTCTTGTGATTCGAGGGTTCTGCCGTGGAAAAAATCGCGGCGCTCCCACGCAAAGAATCAACGGGCGTCCTGGGGTCTCAGGGTTGGGTTTCTCGTGGAAGGTTTCTTGTGGACTGGCCTTCACTGTAACATTCTCGGCACCCGGGAGAAGTCCGAGGAGTAGCGGTACAGATACCAATGTGTCGTCCCAGAAACGTTGGCCGCCAAGATTTCAGCTCCAAGGTGTCTGGGTCTCTGACTCAGGTCTCCCGAATAGAGTCCGAGTAGATGGGGTCGGAGGATCGCGCCTCATCGCCGATGCATCGCCGATGCGCCTCCTTGTGGAGCGCGAATTTCTCCACGCTGACGGCGCCGGTGCGTCGCCGATGCATCGCCGATGCATCGCCGATGCAGCGCCGATGCATTGCCGATGCATCGGCGATGCGGCGCGATCCTCCGACCCCATCTACTCGAATCCCAACCAGGAGGCATCCCATGGACATATGCTCGATGTCACAGTAGAGGTAGGGGGTCTGATTTGGGGCAGGCTCTCTGATGTGAGCTGCCTCGCAGGGTCCCAGGGGGTCTGGGCACAGGACCGCCCTCTCGATGCGTGTATTGGGGGGGATCTAAGACTGCTCGTCCGGGAGAGCTGTGAGCCCTCCATTCACCGCCCACCAAACCACCCCAAACCCGAAGGCCCCAATTTGCCTTACATTTCCAGTTGGGGGGGGTCGGGGAACGTTGAGAAAGAACACATGAAGCCCGTACCCCCCCCCAACCCGAAATTCGGGTTTTCGGGTTGGGTTGGGGTGGTTTGGTAGGCAGTCATCTATTATATTACGAAATGTGGAGCAATTGTTTGGAGGTCCGCGCGGATTTCTTGGGTCGGCGCTGAGCTCCCCTGGCGGCGCCGCCCCTGTCGCCGCCGCCGCGCGCCAGGTGGGTGGGTCCAGCGCAGAGCCACGAAGTCCGCACGGGCCTCCGAGATAGGATGCCTATGATGTGCAGTGAAAATCCACAGTAAAGACGGGCAGGAGGGGAAGGGGGAGGAGGAGACGAGGTTGAGGAGGAAGAGGAGGAGGAGAAGGAGGAGGAGGAGGAGGAGCAGGAGGAGGAGGAGCATGATGAGGAGGCTTCTCAAGGGCACCCTTGCGTCCTTAGATCTGTTCGGCAGTGCGCCGCCAGAGCAGCTTCAACTGGGGCGTCCAAGGACCGTCCGGGGGTCTGGCGTCCTTGCAGCGCGTCCTTACTACAGATTTTGACTGTGTTCTGTTCCTTCAGACGCTGGACTGCAAGAGACTCGGCGGAGGAACGTTTTCTCAGAAGGCGGCGGGACTCCTCGGAAGCCCTCGCGCCTTCTGAGAGTTTTGCTTTCGGGGAAGGCTCAGAACACTTCTCGGAAGGCCGGGGGACCTCCGAGCCTTCCGAGAAGGCCTTCTTTTTCTCGCTTCCCCCCCGGGGCTCGCCGCCGAGAGACGGGCGGGCGGACACGGGGCGGCAAGTTATACCTAAGGGGGGGGGTCGAGGCTGGCAGGAGCACGGGGACCCTGCGCTGCCACCGCGGGCCCCTGCGCTGCCACCGCGGGCCGGACAGGTGCGCGGCAGGTGCACGTCTGTTCAGCTCCTCCTCCTCCTCCTCCTCCTCCTCCTCTCCTCCTCCTCCTCCTCCTCCTCCTCCTCCTCCTCCTCCTCCTCCTCCTCCTCCTCCTCCTCCTCCTCCCTCCTCCTCCCTCCTCCTCCTCCTCCTCCTCCTCCTCCTCCTCCTCCTCCTCCTCCCCCCCCATTCCGTCTCCTTGCAGATCTCACTTCTCCCGGTCGCACCCCGAGGCCGGTTTTCACGGCGGCCCCGGCGTTTCGCCTGAGATTCCCTCACCATTCATGACCCTGAAGCTTAAACAGTGACGGCAGTTTCACAGATGGAGGGCAGGTTGTTTTCAACATGAGGCTCTCGCCTTAGCGCCGTGCGTATTCGTTTCCAGAACTTGCAAGAGTTTTAGGGATTAAGGGCGGTTCATTTTCAAAATGTGGTTATCGATTCAGCGCCGCGCGCATTCGTTCTAAACATTTGCCAGAGTTTCACGGATTGAGGGCGGCTCCTTTTCAAAATGTTGTTCTCTCCTTAGCGTCGCGCACATTTCATTTAATTTGTTGCAGAAGTTTCACGGGTTCCCATGCTCACCGTGCTAGAAGCGGTGTTTTGGAAGGATTCAGGACTATGCGGGTGCAACATTTCTGTTGGTCCGCGGTGTTGAAATTTCAAAAATAGCGTTGCGGCACGATTCCAGATCGTCAACACGCAACAGTCAGGTTGATACGTGGCGTTGAAATCCCGAGAGCAATGTTTTGGCATGCGTCAGGATCTTCAAACGGTTGTCTTCAACGAGGCGGTTCCCCCAATGGAAATGAACCGTTGTAGGGACCGAACACGAGGGAGCTTTGAGGGAGGGTTAATTTCAACATCGTTGATCTCCTCCTCTCCCCCTCCTCCTCCCCCTCCTCCTCCCCCTTCTCCTCTTCCTCCTCCTCCTCCTCGATCCTCCTCCTCCCTTTCCTCCTCCTCTTCCTCCTCCTCCTCCTCCTCCCCTTCCCACTCCCACTCCCCCTCCCCCTCCCCCCTTTAACGAACGCCCGCATTGCCAGACAGCCCGTGTTCGTCCCCCGGGTCCGGGGGGCCTCCAGGCCTCCCAGGATGGGTTTCCGAGCAGGGGGGGTCGGAGGGCCGTGCTTGCATTTGGCGATGCGGCTAGATGTGGAGCCCGATGTCGGCGTCAGCGCAACATACTCATACTACATGTGCGTCGCCCCCCCAGGGGCGACGCGCGCACCGTGAAATCTTATAGTACATGCGTCTTGGCGGGCGCTCTCTGGCCACGCCGCTCGGGAGACGATATAACTACAAGATGGGTATACTGTATGTTCGGGTCGGACGCGCGCCTCCTTGGAGGACATCTAGCATTAGTATGTCTCTGTGCGTCCCACGATGGTATGCACGCCGGCGTCGCCGGTGCATCGCCGACGTCGCCGATGCCTCGGAGATGCATCGGCGATGCGGCGCGAACCTCCGACGCGATCTGTGCGGACCCCGTGTGGAAGGCCTCAGGGACGCCAGTTGTGCACCTGCGGCGATCCTGGCTGGCCCAATGCTGAGACGAGGATCGGTCCATGGGCTCCCCGGCCAAGCCAGGAGGGCGTATACGCTAGGAGAGGAGGAGAGGGGAGGAAAGATGAGGAGGAGGAGGAGAAGGAGGAGAAGGAGGAGAGGGGGGAGGAGGAAGGATACTGGAAGTGCCAGGCGAGAGGAGCTTTGGCGCCATGGCGGAAATGTGGCTCCCAGCTGCTAGCATGGCCACTTCACCACATCCACCAAGGGAAAGACATTTCCGACTTCGGCGGCAGGCCCCCCCTGAGGCGATTCAAAGTTTCCAGCCTTTTTGCGAGTGGGCTGCTGGTAGGGTTCACAGGGCCGTCCTATGTTACTCACAGCAAAACCCCCGCATAAAGAAAAAAACACCCCATTGAGAACCGCCTTTACATGTGTCTCCTGGCACGAAATGGTTAATGGATGAACCGACGGAGCAGCGTCGCTGGTCCCAGGGTCTTCCAAGACGGGCCCGCCCGTTGTAAGAGGCGCCGAACGCAACAACAATGCTGGTCACACAGGGGCCAGAGCAAAAAGCAGACAGCGCACCCCGCTTCGGAGGAAAAAAAGGTAAGGCAGAACAGATGCCACGCTCCAGTGCGTAATGTCCTGCCTCTAAAATTCGAGAGAGCCCGATCTGAGCACCGGTGCTGGACGGCTTGGCACACACGTGCTCATGCCCATCACGCTCGCACGCGGTCTTTCGGGCAGGCGGCCAGGGCCTCGCGCGGAATACGAATACGAACCAGCTAGACGGGCAGCCTCCCCAGCACAGGCACCGGCATCCCCATCCCGCAGCTGTTCAGCAGTCGTTGGCTGAAGTGCGCTGACTTGGGCTCTGGTCGGGTGGCTTCTGGTCCATCTGAGATCCACATCTTTATGAGCTCATCTGAGACCCACATCTGAGAGCAAGGAGGGAGGGAGGAGGAGGAGGAGGGAGGAGGAGGAGGAGGAGGAGGAGAGGAGGAGAGGAGGAGGCGGAGAGAGGAGGAGGAGGAGGAGGAAGAGGACCAGGAGGAGGAGGAAAAGGAGAAAGGACGGACGGGGGAAAATTGCGAGGAACGAGGGAGGGCGAGAGGGAGGAGGAGCTTGGGTCCCCCTGAGTGACCGGGGTGCGGACCCACTCGGGTGCCCTCTGGCCTTTTTGGAGGGGAAGTACGCATGGAGATGGAGGGAGGGAAATGGAGGGAGGGAGGGATCTCCGAGGGAGGAAGGAATCCTTGAGGGAGGGGGGGAGAGATCCTTGAGGGAGGGAGGGGGAGGGAGGGGGAGGTAGAAGAGGGAGGGTGAGGACGGAGGATGGGTGAGGAGGAGGAGGAGGAGGAGGAGGAGGAGGAGGAGGGATGAGGGACGCGGAGGAGGAGGAGGAGGAGGAGTGGGAGGAGGAGGGATGAGGGAGGCGGAGGAGGAGGAGGAGGAGGAGGAGGAGGAGGAGGAGGAGGAGGAGCCTCCGAGCCTTCCCGCCTTCGCAGCCCCCCCCCCACCAGGGTGCGACCTCGTGGAGAAGAACGAGTGCGCGCCGGAGCCCGACCCCGTGTTCGACGTCATCGAGCAGCGCGCGCCCCGGCCGCGCCAAGCCGTCGTGGGGCGTCGGCGTCGTCGTCCTCGTCGTCGTCGTCGTCATCGTCGTCGTCGTTCTCCTCCTCCTCCTCCTCCCCCTCCTCCTGTTCCTCTTCCTCTACTACCAGTAAGCGGATCTTCCTAACGGTTGTGATATTGATCCCCCACCCGAAGTAGGAACGACGGTACAGTACGCGGGCTCGAATTCCATTGCCAGCAAAGGCGGTAAGCACATACGAGGTTGTTTTCAGAAGGAACACATGGACATCGATCTCTCTCACAGCTTCCCAACGTTACGAACCAATGCCCATGTTGTCTTAATCCTACGCGCAGTACGTTCTAGATTTCCCGACCACGCGTTCGAATATTGTTCCTTTGAAGAAGGTTCCAATGTGACCGAAGCCCGTGCCCTCATCAGCCTGCCTGTGCCCACCGAGCTCGTTTGAATGCCCTGCCTGTGCCCTCGACCATCCGTCCTTAGAAGCCCTTCAGGCTTACATCGGGAGTCACACCGACCTCGGAGACGCCACTTTGTCCTTCCTGGTCTGCCGAGGCACACGATCGAAGCAGCCTGCAGCTTTATCCCCTCGTGCTGGCGTCCCGCCTTGTATGGATTGTTGCTGGGTGGTTCTTGTATCATGGGCCCTCCTTCCCCTTCTGGGATAAGGGAGTCAGCTGGGAGGGAGTGCGCGTTGCGGTGCGCGATGCAGGCAACGCGTGGCAGTCGCTTCTCTCAGACAAGCCACGGTGCCTTTGGACCCGCAGGTTGTGCGTTTGGGTCTTCACCACGGAGTACCTCATCCGGCTCTGCACGGTCGCAGCCGCTGCCGTTGTTTGTGATGTGATTATGTGGCCGTGCGAAATGGCTGCTGTTGGCTGCGATCTAGGCGACGCTGCTGCGATCGATGTGTGTACGCTTCTCGTGTTTCCTCGGCCCTGCCACATCGCAGAGGATAGACGCTGCACCAACACTCTCGCTTCATGCCCTCTTTCGTTTCGGGGATTCTGCTTCTCTATCCTCGTCCTCTTGCTTCTGCTTCGCCGGAGGCATGGGTTGGCATGTTCATTCAAGTAGCCTCCGACCATTCGCACCACCGTTTTTGTTGGTAGTGGACAAGAGCCTCCTCAGGGGTCGCTGAAGATATCAAGGGGGCCTCGTGGAGGCCTCTTGGAGGCCTACCTTTAAATTTGCCTGGCGAAGGTCCTGACCATATGCAGCTGTGAGTACCGCTTTTGTATGCACCGCATTCGGAGGAGCTCCCTGCGGTGCCACGAAACGTGCGAGGGGTGTGCAAGCCTGCTGCGGTGGGCGCACGCGAGCACAGCTACTGGGGCTGTCGGTGGAGGTTCTTATGGGGCCACGAAGTGTGTTAGGGGTGTGCCGAAATAGGTTTGGTGGGCGCATGTGAACGCTGGCATGTGGACCTTCGGTGGAGCTCCCCAGGGGGCCCGCCAAACGTACTGGAGGTGTGCCGACAAAAAACTGCATGCGGAGGGCAGAAGCAAGGAGGGGGAGCAGGACGGAGGAGGGGGAGGAGGAAGGAAGGGGTGAGTGACGCGGGGCGCTGTGCCTTCAAAACGAGGACCCAACACCACAGGACGGTTGATCACAAATAGCCCGTTGGAGTTTCCGGGGTTCTTGTTGGAGGTCTGTTGGGGCCGTCTCTTGGGTACCTGTACGGCGCCCCTGGGGGCCTGCTGGAGGTCTCGGGGGCCATATTGGAGGGGAGCAGCTCCCGTGGCTCCTAATGAGCCCCCGATGTGGTCTCGAGGGCCTGGGCGGGTATCGAGGGCCTCTTGGACCAACCTAAACGTTCGCAAGACCTAAATGGCAAGCTCTCGGACATCATGCCCTGACATATGGCCGTTCAATGATTTGGGCCTCCTGGGTTGGCCTCCAGGGCCGCCCAGGAGGCCCCCTAGAACGGCTTCAGCAACAGCGCGCCCATGGCCTCCAGAGCCAGGGCAAGACACACCATTGAAAGGCCACAAACTCAGAGGAGCAAGATGTCATGATAATGCTACGTTCCAAGGTTTCTGAGTGTTCCCAGATGTTCAGGGTCTCCGACTGCTCCACACGAGCTTCTGAAGCGAGGGCCACCAGGAGCTCCAGATTTTCTGGAACGCATCCTGAGCCAAACGAGTCATGCCATCATTCTCGTCCAACAAACCACCCCTTGCCCATATGGTTGGGGCGCGTGTGAGGTTGGTCGTGTTTTCCCCCCAGGCCTTGGGTCGGGATGCTGGGAATTGCAAGTCTATCAGGGACCAGAATGCCCAAATCTTGGAAGAACCCCAGGACGGTAGCACTCTACAAGGCCCATATCCGAAGATCGCCCTACGACGGCACCCTAGCCTGGAAGAGAGGCCCATCAGGGCCCCATGATGGCACGAAGAGTGGCGGACTCGAAATATGATAGGTGTTTAAGGCTTCCGGCCTCACAATGGCCCCCGAGCGCCAGCAGCCTACTGCCTTGGGGCACCGACTGCATTCTTCGCCCTGGGAACAGATTTAACAAACTCCAGCGCAATTATGTTGATGGTGGAGGTCGTTGGTTGGAGGCCTTCAAATATTCCATGAGGTCCCAAGGACTCCCTTGAGGCTTCTCGGGCCCCCCAGAGGTCCCAAATATGCTGACAGTAGTCAACTACATATCTTCGATCGTCTACCTCGAGTCGCCGGGAATTTGCGGTCATGGGACGATTGGTTTCCACGCGTGTTACTGTCGCGCCGCCATGGGCCTGGGTCTCCAGAGGTCTCCATGACCTTTATCCTCGTTATTGACCCCGAGTAGCGAGACGTCTTTGGAGATGATTGGTTTGCCTAGGTGGTCATTCGCGTCGCCTTCACCAGGACAGGACTGCGGGCTTGTAAGTTGCCACGTTCGCAGCTACATCCGCCAATTCGAGCACGTCATCCCAGCAGGCGGGTATTACTACGTAGCACCCCGCAGTTGCGGATAAGAGTGAGGGGGCGGCGAGGACGTCGTCAGTCTGCGAGGCTCTGAAGAAGCCCGCCGTAGGTGTCTCACTTTTATACATTATGCATTGAGCCCGCCGCAGGCGCCGATCTTTTCGTTAAAGCAGTGTGGGTGGATCGCGGGTTGGGTCGCGGGTGAATCGCGGGTGGGTCGTGGGTGGGTCGCGGGCCGGGTCCCGGGTGGGTCGCGGGTGGGTCGCGTGTGGGTCGCGGGTGGGTTGCGTGTGGGTGGCAGGGGTGGGTCGCGGGATGGGTCGCGGGTGGGTCGCGGGCTGGTCGCGGGGTGGGTCGCGGGGTGGGTCTCGGGATGGGTCGCGGGGTGGGTTGCGGGGTGGGTCGCGGGGTGGGTCGCAGGGTGGGTCGCGGGTGGATCGCGGGTGGGTCACGGGGCAGGTCGCGGGTTGGTCGCGGGTTGGTCGCGGGCTGGGTCGCGATGTGGGTCGCGGGGGGGGGGCGCGGAGGTGGTCGCGGGGACGGTCGCGGAGGGGTCGCGGGGTGGGTGGCAGGGAGAACGACGACAACCAACAACAACAACAACAACAACAACAATTACTAGCACGTGGGGACACTCCGTTCTCACCAGTGCCAGGGTTTTCATAGGAGGCGGGCAATACCCCCACTTTGTGGGGGGGCCGGTTCAAGCTCTACCAAATTTCCAAACGACTCTTCGCCACCACCCACACCCAGCTTCCCGCCCTATGACGTTCGGACACTTCACTTCGTGGCATGCGGACGACCGTGGCTACTATTCAGGGCCCCGCGGCCGACGACGACGGCGTGCGCGCGCGAAGAAAAAACGAATGTGTCCCGCATGGTATTATTTGACAGGGATGATGGCCCTGGCAGGTGCGCAACCGTTGTCGCAGAAGTTCGAAAAAGTTGCTCGCAAAAGCCCGTTTGACAGAAATGTTTAAAAAGTGTTGGGTTTCCTACGAATCCGCAAGAGCGCGCGGGATGAGATTTTGACATTTTTTTGTTGAAAAACCATTGGTTTTTTGATGTTTTTATGTTGAAATCGCTCCGAACACTAAGCTTTTGGAAGGATTTCGTCTTGCGCGCGCGAATGTCCACTTTACCTTATTTTTTGCAAGGGATTCTTGAAATTTGATTATATTAGAACAAGAAATGTCATTTTATAGTGTTTTTTGCAAGGGAAAGCGGGGGGGAACAAAACAACCGGATCTTGATCACATCGAATTACCTGAGGCTTCCTCACGAAAATGATGAAAATGTAGCTGCGGCCTAGGCGGCGCAGGGGGGCCGTGCACCAGGGGCCCCAACAATAATTATTCTTTAGAATTAATAATGTTCAACAACAACAACAACAGCAACAACAACAACAACACAACAACAACAACAATAACACAATCAAGATCAACACCAACATGAACAACATCAACAACAACAACAACGCAACAAGCACAATCCTCACCACGTGTCCCCACTAGAGCCACGCACCCAGGGACAATGAATGACCGTTCGGCCCCCTCACTCTGATCGGCGCCGTATTAGTATCGTTACCGCACTTGGTCAGTTGTCATGGAATCCTCGGAGCAGAAGTTCCACATACATTGTGGACGATCTGCTTTGAATGTTCTGCTCTCATGATCGAGGACGTTCCTGCCTGCTAAGGACATACTGCCGAAACTACATTCGCTACGATGGTCAAAGCTCGCCCAATGCCTACGCGCACTGCGCACATTACCCCACCACACCTCTTTGCTCGCACAACGATTCTGCGTGCTCACCATCACGCTATGCATCGCCGTTCTGCGACCGCCGCCTTGTCGCAGGTGCACAGCGTGCGCTTCCCCCTGCTGAACGAGAACTTCCTGGAGGCGAGCCCCCCCCCGCCGCTGTACCCTCGCCGCTCCGGTGCGCCGCGAGCGGCGGACACATCCACATCCAAGGCCTCGCGGCCTGGGCACCGGAGCGAGACCCCGTGTGTGCGCCATCGCACGTCGGAGGGGCTCGACCTTTGCACCACGTCGTTTGACTGGCCAGAGAGCCCAGGAGTTCGGCGGCAGGGGTGGACCTAAACACTGGTTTGCTGGACTTCGGAAGGGAGGTACAGGCAAACAGGTAGAGCAAAACGAAAACAAAACGAACAACAACGTTTAGGTCTAGCCCTGTTCGGCGGCGGACTCTCGCTGTACAGTCGCTGGGGCGTCTATGCACCGACCTCAGTGGCCGACCAGACGACTCGATGCATGCGTCGAGCCGCTCTCAGCACGGGTACTCGGCTGCGAGCGAGGGGGGGAAGTGAGACGGAGAAGGCCTTCTCGGAGGGTTGCGAAGTCCCCCGGCCTTCTGAAAATTTATCTGAGCCTTCCCTCAAGGCACGGGCACAGAAAGCTTCTCAGAAGGCGCGATGGCTTCAGGGAAGTCCCGTCGCCTTCTGAGAAGGCCTCCTCCTTCTCACGTCCCCTCTTTGGTCGCCACCGAGAGGCGGAGGAGGAGGAGAAGGAGGAGGAGGAGGAGAAGGAGAAGGCGAAGGAGGAGGAGGGGGAGTAGGGCAGGGAGGCGGAGAAGGAGGAGGAGGAGGAGGAACAGGAGGGGGGGGGGGGGGAGAGGAGGAGGAGGTGGAGGAGCAGGAGGAGGATAGGAGGAGGCGGAGGAGAAGGAGGAGGAGGAGGAGGGGCAGGAGCAGGAGGAGGGTGAGGAGGAGGAGGAGGAGTATGAGCAGGAGGAGGAGGAGGAGGGAGGAGAGGAGGAGGAGGAGGAGAGGGAGGAGGAGGAGGAGGAGAACAGTAGGAGGAGGAGGAGGAGTAGGAGGAGGAGGATGATGAGGAGGAGGAGGAGAAGGAGGAGTACGAGGAAGGGGGAGGTTGAGGAAGAGGAGGACGACGACGCCGAGGATGAGGAATGGACGATTACTGAGGAGAAGGAAGAGGAGGAGGAGGAGGAGGAGGAGACGAGGAAGGGGGATGGGGGACCGGCGCTGCCGGACGCTGGCGCGCCAGCTCGCACTCGAGAGTGCATCTGGTAGTTTATGGCAGCGGGTCGGCGGCAGGCGTTTCGAGAGGGGTCTGCGCTCGCCCTCCCTTCGCATCCTCCCCCCCTTCGAAGCCCTGAGACCCACCATCTTTGAATCTTCCCCTCCACATCCCCTCTCTTCCGCCCTCCCCTCGCTCCCTCGTTGCCTCGCCCCCTCCCTCCTCCCACGTCCCTCCCTCGCTCGCTCCTTCCCACTGTTTGCGCTGCCGCTGGCCCTGCCGGGCGCGTGAGGCGGGTAATCTGCAGTTCCTGCCATGACCCCACGACTCGCTCATAGCGACGCTGGGGGCCTTCGCTGGAGATCATGGACACGTCTCGTC